ATTTTGAGTCGGGGTCTCACTTTGTCGTCCAAGCTGGAGTGCAGAGGCACAATCACGGCTCACCACAGCCTCAACCTCCTGGGCTCAGGCAGTCCTTCCACCTCAGTCTCCCAGGTAGCTGGGACTATAGGCTCACACCACCATGCCCAGCTAATTTTTTTGATTTTTGGTAGAGATGAGGTTTCACTATGTTGTCTAGGGTGGTCTTGAACTCCTGGCCTCATGCAGTCCTCTCACCTCTGCCTCCCAAAGTGCTGGGATTGCAGGTATGAGCGACTGTGTCTGGTCTCATTTTTAGTTTCAGTTTTAATATTTAAATTCCAGAAAATATTGCCAGTTAAAATATAATTGCAGGAAAAAGTTGGCAAGAAATATTTTCACTGTATTACTGGGTATACTGCTATCACAAATAGGCATTAGCCAACAATGTAAGAAGCATTCTTTGGTTTAAAAATATGTTCTAAGGCCAGGCTTGGTGGCTCAGCCTGTAATCCCAGCACTTTGGGAGGCCGAAGCAAGTGGATTGCCTTAGCCCGTGGGTTCGAGACCAGCCTGGGCAACTTGGTGAGACTTCATCTCTACCATAAATAAAAAATTAGCTGGGCATGGTAGTACGTGCCTATAGTTCTGGCTACTTGGAAGGCTGAGGTGGAAGGATTGCTGGAGCCCAGCAGGTTGATGCTGGGATAGCCATGAGTGTGCCGCTGCACCCCAGCTTGGGTGATGGAGTGAGACTTCAACTCAAAAATAAAAATATATTCTAAATAAGAGGATTTATGTCATAGGCTTACTTATAAAATTCTTCTTAGATGCTTTCAAAAAATTAAGCAAAATGATGTATTAAGCAAGCATGTTACCACCATGTAAGAATTTCCTCTATAGAATTCTCTTTTTTTTTGTTTTCAAACAAACTTTATTAGAGAAAGAAGGGAGAAAAGAAACAGAGACATGTCAGAGTTAGCATGGACGAAAGAAACAGCCTAGAATTCTTAATGATGAAAACCTTATAAATAGAAATCAGTTTCCTGGATGTTTTTTGCTGTTGTCTGTGGTTTTTAGAACATACATGACATATCACCTTACTCTGAAGGGGCCTCATATTCTGGAAAGTAGAACTGAAAAATGATTGTTTCCTTAGAAATTAGCTTTCAATTATAATTTTTCACAAAGGGAGATGCTTTATTGTAAACATGACCTTAAGGTATTGTTTATTATTGAGGACAATATTGAGCAAATATAAAAGTTCAATATGAAGTTCCTTAAGCTATAAGACCTCTTAAAAAATTAAACTCTCAATTGTAATTTTTTGAGGGTAGAAATCAGACAGAGGGGCTATCATCAAGCTAACCTTGAGTTTATATAGCACTGATAGAATTGTTGTAAATGTCAGCTATAAAAACAGTTTTTTTTAGCACAGGGACCAAAACATTCAGTTAGCACTTAGCAAACATTTATTGACCACATGCTATGTGTCAGGCCTTCTGAACAAATGCATATTTTAAAAAGTTGGATAAGACTCATCTTTTACTCTCAAAAGTTCACAACAGGAAACTAAGACAAATAAGCAACAAAAAGGGAAAAGAAAATGGGTTGTATATATGTGTATTTAGTGTGCTGGCTAATGCAGTGTTTTTGTTTTATCTTCTAAGGATGTAGATGCTTATTTATTACAGTTGCATTGAAAGATTTCATCTACTAAAGAGCATTTGAGTATTCAAAACATCCCTGGACTATATGATGTACAAAAAAAGGTCTTGTCTGAGAACTGTGAACTGTGGAAGAAATCAAAACTATTTTTTCTTTTAAAAAGCCACGTAATGAAACCACTAATGAAACCCTAACGATCTACTTCACATTGAAGTGGAAAAATATCCAAAAGGAGCAGCTTCAACTTCAATGAGGTGAAAGTGCACTATGAAGATTGTTCACCTTTGCTGCATTTGGGATTTATATGGTTATTTGGTGACTTTGTTTAAGAACTACTGGGTCTTAATGCAATCCTGCATAAGAGTATAATTTATACTATGTGAAAAAATAAGACAGGACTTATTACTAAGAACCACAAAGACCAATCATTATTAGCTTTTTTAAGATTGTGTTTTATTAAAAAAACACTTAAATGTGTGCAGCTATTTTCTTATGTTGAAAAAGACAAAGTTTAAAACATCATAGCAAAAATCAATATTAAAATTTTTTTGCTCACACTGAGATACTGTGTATGCAAGATGCCTTAATTAGTAACTAGCCAATGTGCTATTATGTTATGATACCAATATCTGTGTAAAAAAATTAAAACCAATCGTGATTCTGGCATGATAAAATCATGGAATTAAATCAGGGGTTTACATTCATGTAGAATGTTGCTGAAATGTATTCCACACCATTTTTAAAACTTGAGAATACTTCACTCTCTCTGATTTTTTTTTGCCAGAATCATGTCATGTATGTATGTGTTATCCTTATCTAAAGAAAAAGGTGAATATGTATCTGTATGAATGTTTGACTGGAAATGTCCATTGCGTTGGCTAATTTATATTCACTTTTTATTGTATATAGATGGCTAATATTTTTCATTTCTGTATCATTTAAACTTCCTTTATTTGAGTAAATTCACTAAATATTTCTATTTTTTGCTTTTTTAAAATCTGATTTTATATGAATTCTAATTCTTTTTCACTACATACATTTTAAAGAGTTACATACTATGCTTTAGAATTGTTTACAGTTAATGCTGACCTTTTATTTTAAATTCCAACACTTTATGTCACTACCTCCTCTAATGGTTGGTATGATAAGCCAGCAGACTATATGAGGTCTTTTTTTTTTTTTAAATATATGTACCATTTTCGTGTCAGTGAACCCTATTCTGGAATGACTTAACAGCTCTAAATCTTACCTGTCTTGAAAGTGATTTGGGTTAATACCACTGCTGGTGGTTCATATGTCATCTCATCTTTAGCTTGGTAGGCATCTGTGCAAAGATTTTTTAGTAACTGAATTTCCCTGCAGTAGTCCTTCAAGCACTTGAATGTAAATCTTTAGCATTTACCCATTTAGTGACTACTGATATAAATCTCAAGCATATTTCTTGCTTTAAAAATGTTATCTTTCACTGAGTTCTTTTCACATAGCTATATTCTATATAACTATGTATCCTCATGGTGAACATCAATTGTAGTAATTTGTTATTTTCTTAAGTATTTAAATTAGCATAATTGCGGTTTACTGCACTTTGTGATTTGAGAGGTGAGTTATTTAAGACGTCATTTCTCAGGACACAGGAATTTGAATTGTAACCCTGTGTCATCTCTGTGAAAACTTAAGATGATAAAATATAACCTTTCTTTGATCTATTCCTTTAGGTAACACTGTCTTATCTAATGGTTTAAACTAGGTAACTTGGTTGGAATATGGTGCTAATGAAGCTAAGGACAGGAGTTTAAGTCTTTCATAGGTTCATTAACTTTAGACACAAAAAATGATTTTAGCTATAGATTGCACCTTCCCTCATCTCATGAATTCAACTTTTGGTCACCAGGAAGATGGTGTGTATAGCTTAGCATAAACCCTTCAGCTCAAATGAAAAAATTACTCAAAAAATTGACATAGATGATACTATAGACTATTAATCTAACATTTAAAATAATATATGCAAAATAAGATAGCTAAAATGCTGTATAATTTTTAGTTTCACAGTATTAAATAAGATTGGGTCAGATAGGCTGGATATGGTGGCTCATGCCTGTAATCCCAGACTTTGGAAAGCCAAGGTGGGAAGATTGCTTGAGCTCAAGGGGTTCAGGACCAGGCTAGGTTAACATAGCGAGACCTCATCTCTACAAAACTTAAAAAAATTAGCCCCGCATGGTGGTGTGCGCCTGTTGTCCTAGGTACTTGGGAGACTAAGGCAGAAGGATCACCTGAGCCCAGAAGGTCTAGGCTACTATGAGTCATGATTATTACTCCAGCCTGGATGACAGAGTAAGACTCTGATTCATACATAAATAAATAAACAGCATCTTCAGAAAACAAACCAGTAAAAAGTAAGTATAAGTACAAATGAATTATAGTAAGAAAAGGTATTATCCTGGTAACACTGAGTTTTATGCCTAAATGTAGGTGTTTTGAAGGCAAGTAGGTAATTCTCTACTTTATATACTCAGAGTTTATAAGGTAACAAAGTCTTTAACTTACAAAGATTATTCAGTAGCACACACTCCTAATCTCTGTTCTTGGTCTTTGCAGTTTACCTTAGTACCTACCTCTCAATTATTGAGTTGTGATTTATATTAAGTGATTTTAAGACTCTTGGATAAAAGATACTAGATAAGTAATGTTGAACACTTCTGTTGCTATTAAGCTCTTCTCATGCTACAGCATTTAATTAGAACAGTGTTGATTTCCCAAAAGAGCCAAAGAAAGTGTTTACAAAGTGTTTTGGCTGTTTTATTGACCTAGATTAGGACAATTGCTATCTGTCATTGCTCATTTGTTGCTATGCTGCCAAGCGATATACAGAACCGAGGGACTACCCAAGGTCTCTATGCCTTCTTAGTACTTCTGCCTTCTTAGGTTTTCTATACTTGACTTTGCTAACTTTGCAAGTATAGGGACAGGTAGTTTATAGAGGTGATAGATGGCCGTAATCAAATAATTTGCTTCTGCAAAGGATAAAGTGAGTGAATTTTGTAATGAGTGTCATGATCAGAGTAAGAGTTAAAAGAAAGTATTATTAAATGGTTTTTAAAATCAGTCTTTTGACAGTAATTTCAAAGGTAATTGGCACCAACTTTTACATGAATCCTGAGACATGAGAAGTTGAATCTAAGTATCTATATACACTTTGGGGAGTCATAAATATCAGCACTGAAATCTAAGGGCTGAGAAATTAAATCCTGATGCCTCTAAATATGCTGAGTAAATATCATGTCCTAACCCTAAATATGGTTGTGTGAGTTCAAAGCCGATTTCTAGCCTTTGAAAAGGTAGTTTTCTCAAATTTAGGACATTTCTATATTTTGCCAAATTGTTGACATAATTAATATTAATAGACAACTAATTGGAATGATGATTATTAGCTATTAAATGCTAATAATAGAAATCATATTTAAATTCTTACTTAGTTACTTAAGTTGGTCAAGAAGTTTAAAAAAACAAGGCTTAAATTAGCATTTAATCAACCATTTCCAGTTATCTTCCTTGTTTAAGAACAAGATGGAGCCGGGCTCGGTGGCTCAGCCTGTAATCCCGCGCCTTTGGGAGGCTGAGGTGAGTGAATTGCCAGAGCCCGCGGGTTTGAGACCCGCCTGGGCAGCGAGACCTCATCTCTACAATAAATCAAAAAATCAGCCAGGCGTGGTAGCGCAGGCCTGTCATTCCGGCTACTCGGAAGGCTGAGGCGGAAGGATCCCCGGAGCCCAGCAGGTCGAGGCTGCGGTGGCCGGGAGCGGCCACTGCACTCCAGTCTGGGCAACAGAGCGAGACTCCAACTCAAAAAAAAAAAAACAAAAAAGCAAGAACAAGATGGTAGCTGGGTACAGTGGCTCACGCCTATAATCCCAGTACTTTGGGAGGCTGAGGTGAGAGGATTGCCTGAGCTCAGGAGTTCGAGACCAACCAGGGCAATTTGACGAGACTTCGTCTCTACAATAAATCAAAACATTACCTGGGCACATGCCTCTATTCTAGCTACTTGGAAGGCTAAAACAGAAGGATCTCCTGAGCCCAGCAGGTTGAGGCTGCGGTAACAGTGAGCGAGCCACTGCACTCCTGCCTGGGCAGCAGAAAGAGACTTTGACTCAAAAAAAAAAAGAACAAGGTGGTAATGTTAGTTGCTTTTTTTTTATTTAAAGAAAAAAACTAAATTAGAATTATAAACCACTGACTTAATGAAGTGATCCATTTGGATACATTACTATTATCTTTTAGTACAGACTTTTCTGGATTATCTTTTTTTTTTTTTGAGTTGGAGTCTCACTCTGTCGCCCAGACTGGAGTGCAGTGGCCGCTCCTGGCCACCGCAGCCTCGACCTGCTGGGCTCCGGCGATCCTTCTGCCTCAGCCTTCTGAGTAGCTGGAATTACCGGCATGCGCTACCACACCCGGCTGATTTTTTTATTTATTGTAGAGATGAGGTCTCGCTGCCCAGGCGGGTCTCGAACCCGCGGGCTCAGGCAATCCACTCACCTCAGCCTCCCAAAGACGCGGGATTACAGGCTGAGCCACCGAGCCCGGCTGAATTATCTTATATGGAAATAGTATTGCTGGACATGTATTGGTACTTATTTACTCTTAAATTATTCTTTTTCCCTTAATTTCTAATTCTTCTACCTACAAAAACTCTACGACATACTATACCTCCCCCTTTTTTATTCTGTAACAGGATTATAAAATTAAAAACTCATCCCTAAACACTGTATGTTTCTAATTTGTAATATAGTTTGATTCAGTAATACCACCAACTATAACAATAAAAGTAAACACTACATATCATATACCAGTATACTGAGTACATTTTCCAGTGTTGTATTTAAATAATATGTTTTAAATACTGTAGTCACTATAATTTTCTCTGGGTCAAATCATTGACAGTATCTTCTCAAAATCAAACTTCAATAAAAATTAAGTATAACTACAAATAAGACATAGAATATACCACAGTAATGTTAATTCTTAAGCTTTACAGGAATCTGTATTTTCATTCAGATTTAAACCAGGAGTTTTTTGTTTGGTTGGTTGTTTATGTCGTGTACCTGGCCAGGACTGTTGTTACACTATGAATTTACACCAAAGCTAGGAAGTTAATCCAAAGTATATTCTAGGATAAGAAAGAGTTGTCATGGGAGTCCTGGAATATACCGAATTGTCAGAATTACTTGCTTCTAGTAGGAATAAAGTGAATGACCTTATTAGTGAGTATCATGATCAGAATAAGAATTAAAAGAGCCCAGGCTCGGTGGCTCAGCCTGTAATCCCAGCGCTTTGGGAGGCCAAGGTGAGTGGAATGCCTGAGCCCGCGGGTTCGTGGCCCGCCTGGGCAACTTGGCGAGACCTCATCTCTACAATAAATCAAAAAATTAGCCAGGTGTGGTAGCGCGCACCTGTAGTTCCAGCTACTTGGAAGGCTGAGGCAGAAGAATCACCAGAGCCCAACAGGCCGAAGCTGCAGTGGCCAGGAGTGGCCACTGCACTCCAGTCTGGGTGACAGAGTGAGACTCCAACTCAAAAAAAAAAAAAAGAAAGTATTATTAGATGGTTTTTTAAATTGGTCTATTGCGTTTGTCAGCCACACCTGTAATACAGAGTCTGGATTGGAGGTAGACTTCCCTTTCTAGGAATCAAGAGTTAGCATTCATTCTCTTTTTTTTTTTAATGAAGAAGATTGAACATTATTTTTAAAAATGTATTAGCCCTTTGTATACAATTAAACAGGTAAATGAGGACCTACTCTACCCTTCTCCCGCCCTGCAGTACATCCACCAATCCCTCTTTGAACTACTGCAGCTTAGTCTCAACAACAGCTGGAGACATGAGAATTAATACCTTTTTTGTAGGCAGATTCTAAAGCTTACAAGGGTGTTGGAAGAGGCTTATTCTTTCCCTTTAACAATCCATATTCCTTTTCTC